AAAAAAAAAAAAACTAAAATTTTCTTTTTCCATGCCATGATGCTATACCTAATTTTACATGTTTGGTTTTCAAGAATTGTTTAAAAAAAAGCCTTAATTATTGTATACCTTTGTAGCTTGTCTAGCTTATTCCATATATTCTTAACTTTTTACACATTTTCTGAATTAAAATGAGATAAGAAAAAGCTTTCACAAACATTTATCTTTGCTTTTAAAGGTTCAGTGGAGAGATTACTCTGAACTACTTGGAAATAAAGATAAGAAAAATATATACATAATATAGAAAGAGAGTATAAAACAGGTTTAGCTTGTCATATACATTAGAAACAAGAAATCATGTTAAATTCTGTAATAAGCGTGTACCTACCTTTTTCATGTTTAATAGACCATTTTCTATTTTTATCAATATTAATCTCTTCCTTCTTAGATGTTTCATCTAAATCTTGAATAGGGGTTTCCAGAATCACATGCTCCTTGAGAGATAAATCACTTTTAACAGACATAGTTTCTTCAGCTGAGGTAGTATCCTCTTCTTGAGCTTGAGTTTCTAATTTGCTATAAATTCAACAAAAATAAGTAGTCGTATTATATAGCAAACTTAAGCAAAATGGTCGTTTTAAAAAGATACCACAATGCTACCAAAATTAAAATCTATAAAATAGTTTTTGCTGGTTCCTTTCATAGTTATAGCATGGTTTCATTAAGAGAAAATCTTACATTAGTAATCTTTTAGCATTCTATGAAGAGTTTACTGCTTATGTAGATGTGGTACAGGTGTGGATATGTTATATTTCGATTTTCAGAAAGCACTGGACAAGGTTCCACATAAAAAGCTTTTTAATAAAGTTCTCTTTAGGTGTCAGAGATAGGTTGGCTCACTGAATAGAAACCTAGCTGGATGGATGGAAGCAGAGGACTGATATAAATGGTGTTTAGTTAAACTGAATTAATATCACAAGTGGGGTACCTCAGGGTTCGGTGTTAGAACCACTGCTCTTTTTGATTTACATCAGTGAGATCGATGAAGGCATAATCAATAAATCAAATTTGCTGATGATATTAAAGTTTCAAGTGTTGTTGGCTGTAAGAAGGATGCTGTTGCTTTACAAAAGGTTTTGGATTATTAGGCAAGTTGGGCAAATAAATGCGAGAGACTTTTAGTTATAATAAATACAAGGTGATGCATGTGGGATATCACAATTTAAATTATGAGTACAGTTTTGACAGAAATAACTTTAACAGTGTTATGAATAAAATAATCTTTGTATTCTGTTTGATCAGTTTTTTAAACCACCCAAGCAATGTGCTGTTGCTAGTGGCAGGGCAAATAGGATTTTAGATTGAAAGAGGTATCAATGTAATTGTACAGGCCATTGGTTAAGCCACATTTGGAATACTGCATTCAATCTTGGGCTCCTTATCTTAGAAAGAACATTAAATTGTTGAAAAGGGTTCAGAGGAGGGCTACTAGGATGATAACTGGGATGGAGAGATTGTCATACAAAGATAGGTTAAAATTTCTGAAATTGTTTTCTCCTGAAAAAAAGAAGAGTTAGAGGGGATGTGATTACTGTTTAAGATTATTAAGGGAATTGATAGTTGACATTCATACTTAATGGTGAGAATGGTCAGACTGGGGGGACACAAATATAAATTTTAGCTGTGTAAGAATCATCTGCAGCTGGGATAGCTATATTTTTCTAAAAGGTGGTTGGCCTTTGGAAATGGTTGTGCTCAAATTTCACATGCAGTTAAAGTGAGCTTAAGGGAAGGCTTGATGAATATTTAATGATAAAAGCTGTCTGAGTGTTTTATTTTAGTTTCACATAGTGGATAGGATGGTCTAGATGAAACAACAGGTCTCTTGCTGTACTTAAGTTATGTGTAAATTATTAATCATTTTTCAATTATCACTGATAGAGAAAGAAATTATGAAATGTTGTTGTCTCAATTAACTTTCTGATCAGTTCTTTCTATCATTTTATTTTTTAGATTTGAGTTACAACTTGAACAAAACAAACATTTTAGTATTATCTAGCTTTTGTATGTTTATTCAGCAGTCTCCATTCAAAAGGTTTTTTTGTTTTAAATTAGTAATGACCTCAACTAATGCTTATTTATCTTATCATAACTTTAAACTCATGTACACATAATTGAGTAAGCTGGAAAGAGTACACCTTTTTTCATATGGATACTGATTGGTCATTCTTCACAGAACTTGATGGTAACAGAATATCATTTCAATTAAAATCTCTTATCTATATTTAACTATCATACCACTGTTATGATTCACTATTTTTTTCTACCATTATTTTAGGCAACCACTAAATTGGAAGCAAGACTTTATTGATGAATCTGATTTGAGTTAGCTAAAATTTCTTTTATCAGAAGTAATAGGGTACTTTAGCCACTTAACTCTCTCAATACGAGCTTGGTCAATTTGACCGACCATGTGACCTTTTTGTACTCATTTAAAGTCTGTATAGATTTAATACTTATAACTCTCAATATAGTGTGTATTTCTCCATGAAATTTGGCAATCTTTCAGTTAACATTACAAGTCTTTTACATACAAAAAATCATATTTTTTAGTGAAGTATTTTTAATAAAATAAAATAAAGATTTGTCCATGAATATATGGAGTATTTGTTTTGAATAGTCCATATGCAAAATAATTTTCATGTTAAAAATAAAAATGCCTTTTGTCATCTCAAAAAATCTCAAATTTCCTTTGTGTAATCCCTAAATGCATTTCAAACATTTTTTTTCAGTAAATCTTTATAGTTTATCTGTTATTTTCTCTACACTATCTCAAAATGGGATCGGCCCATTTGACTGACCTCCTAATCACCAAAACAAAAATCTAAATAAACTTTTTCTTTCTAGAATGACTTCAAATTGTAACATGAAACTACATTCGTTTATCGTAAGTAGCTCTAAGTTTGTAACA